AAAAAAAAAAAAGAAAAAAAAAAAAACTCAAGGGCAGGACCTGTGGCTCAGTGGGTAGGGCACTGGCCCCATATACTGAGGGTGGCCCCGTCCAAACTGCAACAAAAAAATAGCTGGGCATGTGGTGGGTGCCTGTAGTCCCAGCTACTCAGGAGGCTGCGGCAAGTGAATCGCCTAAGCCCAGGAGTTGGAGGTTGCTGTGAGCTGTGACGCCACAGCACTCTACCAAGGGTGATAAAGTAAAACTCTGTCTCTAAAATCGAAAAAGGCAAAAAGAATCCCAAAACACAACAGGGAAACAGCCAAGCAAACTGTGGCATCTTGCAGAGTAAATGACAATCATGTAAGATTATGCCTATAGAGAAACCTTTCAATTGTAGAAAGTAATAAAAAAGGTAAAACTTAAATTGATTGCCTTCTTAATTTTTTAAGCAAACTGACATTCTCATGAACATCTCTCCATGCTCCCAAAGCTATCACACGATCGGTCGGCATAGAAAGCATCTGAGAACACGTTCAACTTACTGGTCTACTCTCCTCACTTTGCAGGGACAGAAACTGAACTGGAGGCAATGTTATCTCCTTAATTTCATCACTGTCTCTTAATCTATAAAGTCTGTTCCATACTTCATATTCTTCTTCTGATAAAAACCAACCTTTCTTTGAGTTACTTTGCTTCATTCCTACAAGTTGAAAAAAAATAATTGAAAAGAGGACAAAAAAAAAAAAAGGAAGGCAAATACAAATTACACGTATCAACTCAAACCCTCTACTTGTTTACGCTACTCACCTTTGCCAAACCACTGATTCCACGTCTTTTCTTTTCTTTTTTTTTTTTTGAGACAGAGCCTCAAGCTGTCGCCCTGGGTAAAGGGCCGTGGCATCACAATTCACAGCAACCTCCAACTCCTGGGCTTAAGCGAATCGCTTTCTTGCCTCAGTCTCCTGAGTATCTGGGATACAGGTGCCCGCCACAATGCCCAGCCATTTTTGGTTGTAGTTGTCATTGTTTGGCAGGCCCAGGCCGGATTTGAACCTGCCAGCTCTGGTGTATGTGGCTGGCACCTTAGCCGCTTGAGCTACGGGGGCCACCTGATTCTACTTCTTAAAACTAGCGCTTCTTCATATAGAACCGCTCAGTTTATTACTTCTTCTATGTATCTACCCAACTTCCCTCACCTCGTTACCCTTTCTCTGAGTATCCTTTGGTAATTATTTCATTAACAGATGATAGCCAGGTACCATATTTTCCTGTTATCAAAGGGGCACTATGGGCAGCGCCTGTGGCTCAGTGGGCGCCAAATTCAGACCCACCCCGGCCAAACTGCAACAAAAAAATAGATGGGCCTTGTGGTGGGCACCTGTGGTCCTAGCTACTCAGGAGGCTGAGGCAAGAGAATGGCCTAAGCCAAGGATTGAGCTGTGTGACTCCATGGCATTCTACCAAGGGCAATAAAGTGAGACTCTGTCTCTACCAAAAAAAAAAAAAAATGCACTAAATTTACAAAAGTCAGCCCATCTTCAAGACATTTATCTTTAAAGTTGCTGAAGATACCTGTTCCCCGTATTCCGTTCATAAGAGTGTTCAACATGAGTAATTCTTTGTAGCAAAGAAAATCAGCTGATTCATCCAAAGCAATTGAATAATACCTATTTTCTTTTCTCAGTATTCCTTGAAGTTGTTCTGTTAAGTTGAAGGCTAATTCATGCTGCCAATCAGTTATGGTTCTTCTTGAAAGGGGCAGTTGTTTGTACATTATCAGGGCCTAAGTATCACACGACTTCAATAATGCATTCTTTCACAGTTTCTGCATCACTGACTGGCTTCCCTTTTTCCCCAAGTATGCAAACTACTTGATAAGTTGCTTCAGTGGCATTATTTCCAGGTCTTACTGCTGCTTGAAAGATCTGTCTTTGCTTTTGCTTTTCATCTTTTAATTTCTGCAATACAACCTTTTTGTGCCTCTCCCTCTAATTTAAAATACTTCTGGTCCTTCTGAGTGTCATAATGCTGATGAGCACTGAATGCTGATGCTGCAGAATCACAAGCAAAGCAAATCATCTTCCCTTTACCAGAAACAAGATAATATTGCAATCTCTAATGCTCGTTTTAAAAAATCTGTTTTCCACTTGCTCACACCTGTAAATCCCAGCACTCTGGGAGGCAGAGGAGGATGAATTGCTTGAGCTCAGGAGTTGGGAGACCAGCCTAAGCAGGAGGGAGACTCTATTTCTACTCAAAACAGAAAAACTGGGGTGTGGTGGCTCACGCCTATAATCCCAGCACTCTGAGGCTAAGGTGGACAGATTGCTTGAGCTCAGGAGTTCAAGACCAGCCCGAACAGGAGTGAGACCACATCTTTAAGAAAAAAAAAAAAAAAATAGCTGGGCATTGTGGCAGGCACCTGTAGTCCCAGCCACCTGAGAGGCTGAGACAGGAGGATCTCTTAAGCCCAAGAGTTTGAAGTTGCTGTGAGCTATGAAGCCACTTCACCCTACCCAGGGCTACTGAGAGAAACTCTGTCTCAAAAACAAATAAATAAATAAATAAATAAAAAATAAAAACAGAAAAACTGAATCAGCGCCTGTACCTCAAGCACCTAAGCCACATACACCAGAGCTGGCAGGGTCTGTCATATAGATAAGGGAAGTTTCATTCCTCTAGATAAAGGCAACTAACACAAATGGCTACCAGGTGAATAAGGAACGGAGTAGGAGAGAAGGGGTAGCAAATGGTGTTATCCTCTTATATGAGGACGAGTTACTGCTCACCTTGAGAACATGTCTGGAAAAGACTGCAACTGCTTGGGGGGACATTACAGGAGACAGCTTCTTTCTGTTTCCACATTCTTAGCAGATAGTCTACAATGCACACTGCAATCTCGTTTAAATGCTTATTCAACAACAAAACTTTTTTTTTCTTTTCTCGACTTTTATAAAGAGTATTCTCTGGGTGGGTAGAATATTTTTAATTTCCCCAACACTGAGTTTCTATCATCCTGTACTGCCATTATCTCCTTCTCTCTGCCACATAAACAATCTCTTACCTTTTCCAACGTGAACACCTATAACAGCCTAGAACTTACACTGAATTATTCAAAGAAGAAATATTATATCAAGAAATGACCTGGCGGCTTGGCACCTATAGCTCAACGGGCTAAGGCGCCAGCCACATACACCTAAGGTGGCGGGTTCAAATCCCCAGCCCGGACCCGCCAAACAATGACGGCTACAACCAAAAAATGGCCAGGCGTCGTGGCGGGCGCCTATGGTCCCAGCTACTTGGGAGGCGGAGGCAGGAGACTCGCTTGAGCCCAGGAGTTGGAGGTTGCTGTGAGTGTGATGCCATGGCACTCTACCCAGGATGACAGCCTGAGGCTCTGTCTCAAAAAAAAAAAAAAAAAGAAAGAAATGACCTGGCAGCACCCATACCTCAGTGTGTAGGGCACCGGCGTGCTAAAGTAACAATGACAACTGCACTAAAAAAATAGCTGGGCGTTGTGGTGGGCATTTGTAGTCCCAGGTACTTGGGAGGCTGAGAGGCAAGAGACTCGCTTAAGCCCAAGAGTGAGAGGTTGCTGTGAGCTGTGACACCACAGCAATCTACCAAGGGTGACAGCTTGAGACTCTCTCAAAAAAAAAGGAAAGAAAAGTAAGAAATGACGTCCTAACTAAGCATGGGGAGCAAAATGTCCACGTCAAATGCAAATTTTTTATTTACCATTCCTACAGGCAACAATAGATGACTTTCGCTGCATGTTTCGAGAAGACTTCTCTGGTTCATAGACACCATGTGTGATGAACATTTTGTGCAATTCTGGATTGATTCCATCGGGAACCATTCGTGGACTTCTTTGGTAAAAATGAAGGACCTGCCTGTTACCTGAAATAGCTTTATAAATTCTTCTTTTGTTGAATTGGCTTTGATTATAAATCTGCAAGAACAAATATAAAACATCAAATTATATTATTTCTCTAACAATCATTTATCCATCACAAGCAATTGATATATATATTAGTTTGGGTTATTGTAAACATAAAATAAAGCCCTGATCTACTTCAATACTTAGAGAATAGAATTTCTGTTGTCTTGAATTTTTTTTCTCTTTTTTTTTTTTTTTTTTTTTGCAGTTTTTGGCCAGGACTGGGGTTGAACCCACCAGCTCTGGCATATGGGGCTGGTGCCTTACTTCCTTGAGCCACAGGCGCTGTCCCAAGAATTTCTGTTGTCTTAAATTTTAAAACCTGTCTATTGCCAGGCTCACTCCTGTAATCCCAGTACTTTGGAAGCCAAGGTGGAATGATCGCTTGAGGCCAGGAGTTGGAAACCAGCCTGAGCAACACAGTGAGATTCTGTCCCCACAAAAAATAAAAACAGGGCAGCGCCTGTGGCTCAGTGAGTAGGGTGCTGGCCCCATACACTGAGGGTGGCGGGTTCAAACCTGGCCCTGGCCAAATTGCAACAAAAATATAGCCAGGCGTTGTAGCAGGTGCCTGTAGTCCCATCTACTCAGGAGGCTGAGGCAAGAGAATCGGCTAGGCCCAGGAGTTGGAGGTTGCTGTGAGCTGTGTGACGCTATGGCACTAAGTGTCTCTACAAAAAAAATAAACATAAAAACAGTTTGGCAGCCAAGGCAGCACAAGCTACTCAGGAAGTTGAGGCAGCAAGATTACTTGAGCCCAGGAGTTTGAGGCTGCAATGAGCTCTGATTATGCCACTATACTCCAACCTGGGTGACACAGCAAGGTCCTGACTCAAAGAAAAAATAAAAAACCTATCAGTAAACTGCTAGATTAATTCAAAGAAAATCATTTCAAAATCTATTATTATAAAAACTGACCTCAGTCAGCCCTAAGTAACAATATTACACAAGGAAAAATCTATTTTTCATTAATTATCCTGTTCTTTTCTTTTTTTTTTTTTTTTTTGAGACAGAGCCTCAAGCTGTCCCCCTGGGTAGAGTGCCGTGGCATAGCTCACAGTAACCTCCAACTCCTGGGCTCTGCCTCCCAAGTTGCTGGGACCACAGGCGCCCGCCACAACGCCTGGCTATTTTTTTTCAGTTGCAGCCATCATTGTTGTTTGGTGGGCCCGGGCTGGATTCGAACCCGCCACCTTAGGTGTATATGGCTGGCACCTTAGCCACTTGAGCCACAGGTGCCGAGCCTATCCTGTTATTTTCAATTAAAGTTGCTATTTACAAAAGCATAAGGTTTGGGGTTTTTGTTAGTTTTTTAACTATTCCCTTATTTCACCTTGTTCATCTCTCTACACTTTATACTTCAGTTGTATACACCAAAAGCATTACTCCTCTTATGAGGGGCTAGCGGTTAAATAAGATAATGAATCTGAAGCAATCAAAACATGGTAAAGCACAGACTAAGTGCTCATTTTGTACCATTATTACTATTTTACAGATAAGAAAATTAACACGTGGGGCCAGGCGTGCTGGCTCACACCTGTAATCCCAGCACCTGGTAGGCTGAGGCAGGTGGACTGCCAGAACTCACAGGTTTGAGACCAGCCTGAGCCAGAGCCAGACTTTGTCTCTAAAAACAGCCAGGCATTGTGGCAGACGCCTATAGTCCAGCTATTTGGGAGGCTAAAGCAAGAGAATTGCTTAACCCCAGGAGTTTGAAGTTACTGTGACACCAGGGCACTCTACTGAGGGTGACAAAGTGAGACTCTGTCCCCCCAAAAAGAAAAAGAAAATTAACACTTGAATAGAGAGATTAAATGACAGGGTGACACAATTAAGATCCAGTTCCAATTCCAGTGATGGATAATATACGGCCTTTTACAGGCTATAAAACATTGTATTTATTAGAATTACTTTATGGATAAATTGAATTTTAAATATGAATATGTTATACTCACATGAAAACTTAGGGAAAATAATTCATTTTTCAAGATGATTTTAATATATAAAACATTTTAAATTTTTAATAACTATTATAGTTGATCTTTAAGGTGAACAAGTCCCAGTGAGTTATAAAAAGTAGTTAATACTTAAGTGTTTCAAATACAAAATAATATTAACATCATATTTAACAGAGCCCATCACCTAGGACTATAGCAGAACATGAATATAATTCAAGTTCCTTGTCACTTACAATAAGCATCAGTAAACATCTATGAAGGGCCAGAAAGAAAATATTTTGGGTTTTGCAGGCCACATACTATCGCTAATACATATCCTTTGGTTTTAATTTAGTTAGTAACTTGCAGCCCTTTAATATGTTAAAAACCATTCTCACTTCACTATAGCTCAGAAGGAAAACTAAACTAAAAAAACATAAAAGAAAAAGAAAACACAGGCCTTCAAAACACAGGGAAATAGTAAAATAAAGTAATACATGTTGGGTTTTGTATTTAGGTATCTCTGAATTAATGCTTAATTCAGAGATTAATGTGTTTCTTTTATGAATAAAAATTAGAAAACTGAATCCAGCTGAAAATTCCCTAATTATAAGAAAGATAGTAGTCAGAATCAAACACAAAGAAGAATAAAATAACCATAATTACCTAAATTTGGCTTGTACTTTGAATGCTAAAATGATGATGTTTGTCTTTGGGCTACATTTCTCAAATTTCAAGTGTCACGTCATGTTTCTACAAGACTACTTACACGTTCTTCTCGGCCTTCAGCAAGGATAACAACAATCCTGCCTTGACGTTTGCGGCCAGTTCTGCCCATTCGCTGTACAAGACGAATTGGGCTCTTCTGAGCATCAAAACATATTATAAGATCAACTTCGCCTATATCCAAACCTTCTTCACCAACACAGGTAGAAACCAATGTGTTATAACCACCATCACGAAATCGTTTGACTACCTAAAATCAAAGTGATTTAAAAATAACCAGATGCAATGTAATAGCATTCTAGATCAAGGCACAGAAATGTTTCCCACTCACCCCAAAATAATTAGATGAGATTAAAAATCAGAAGCAGGGCGGCCCCTGTGGCTCAAAAGGGTAGGGGGCCGGTCCCCTATGCCAGAGGTGGCGGGTTCAAACCCAGCCCTGGTCAAAAACTGCAAAAAAACAAAAATCGGAATCAAAGGCTGGATGCAGTAGTTCATGGCTTTAAGCCTAGCTGAGGCGTGTGGACTGCTTGAACTTAGGAGTTTGAGACTAGCCTGAGAAAGAGCAAGACTCTGTCTCTACTAAAAATAGAAAAAATTAGCAGGGCGCTGTGGCAGATGCCTATAGTTCCAGCTACTTGGGAGGCTGAGGCAGGACAATGGGGCAACCTTAAATACCACCATGGCTTCTTCACAAAGAAAAAAAAAGCAGTAAGCTCATTATTTATTTATAGTAAAAATGCTAAACATAATAAATAGTAAACATTTATACTCATTATAATGACTGTATAATAAGATCTCACTTAATGGTTACATCAACCCTATGAAGTTTACAGATAAGGAAAACTGAGGGACAAAAAGTAAAGCAACTTGGAAATGTAGCCTCTGTGGAAAGACGTCTGGAGAACCCTCAAAGAGCTAAAAGCAGACCTTCCATTTGATCGTACAATCTCCTTACTAGGTATCTACCCATAAGAAAAAAATCATTGTACCACAGGACATTACACTAGAATGTTTATCACAGCTCAATTCATAAGTGGCAAGATGTGGAACCAACCCAAATGCCCAACAACCCGTGAATGACTAATAAACCGTGGGATATGTACACCCACTGATATGTACTATTCAGCCATAACATCTTTTGTATTTACCTAGATGAAGTTGAAGAACGTTCTCCTTAATGAAGTCTCACAAGAATGAAAAGCATCCAATGTACTTAATACTAATATGAAACTAGTAGATGGACAATTGCATGCCCAGGTGAGAGAAAAAGTGAATTAAACTCAAGAGGGACCGAGGAAGGCTGAGGGAGGGGTTGTGGTAAACTCTCACCTAATGGGCAAAATGTAAGGTTATATGGCACATCTTCTGGGTGAAGGGCTCAACTGCAACTTGGACTTCACCTAATAAACACACAACAATGTAACCTAATCGTTTGTACCATCATATTAGCCCGAAATTAAAAAAAAAAAAAAAAAAAAACAAAAAAGATGGTGGTTGCAGCCGAGAGTGCCAGGCTTCCAGAGCCTTTCCGCTTACCATGTCACTTCACCTTACCGAAAACAAAAACCTTCAAAATCACAGAAAGCATGTTTCGTGATCTTTCAAGATGCTTATTTTTATTTACAGTTTCTGTTCCAAAATTGCCTTTAAGTAGCCAATTGACCAACAAGTTAAAACATGTCCAAAGCTAACCAATATTTTTCTTAATTTTTTATCACCTCCAAAGATAATTACCTCTACTTGTTCCTTCTGGGTAAAACCTTTCGTGCTTTTTCCCGAGGCATGGCCAACAAAAGTCATTACTCTAATAACTGGCTGATGCTGTAAAAGCATTTGTGCAATTTCTTGAACACTATCTCGAAACGAAGAGAAGATCATAACTCTGGTCTCGTCACATTTCTTTTCAGAGGTGTTTTTAGCTATATAACAAAAAATACTTTAATTAAAATTTATAAAAAAGCACTTAGACAAAAACTAGTTCAAAAGACAAGCCTGAAACTATTTACTGATAAATGGTAATTCTTTCAAAAAGAATACAGGTGTTGCACACCTGTAGTCCCAGCTACTGAGGAGGCTGAGGCGAGAGGACTGCCCGAGGCCAGGAGCTTGAGAACGGCTGGGGTAACACAGTGAGATCCTGTCTCTAAAAAAATAAATAATTTAAAGCATCTTGAACCTTTGCCATTTTTTTAACTATATTCTCTATTAAATATAGTAAAAAATAATCTCTGCTTCTTATTTCTCATTGGCTATTAAAATAAAGTCCTAAATGAGTCACATATGAGTTACTTAAATCACTTTTAACCTGTCCTTCAATTCAGGCTGAATGTCTATTATTCCCCTTTACCGTCTATGGCATTTGCAAGCACAGAACCCACTAATTTCATAAATCTTCTGTTTCCTTTCCATTCACTAAAGGCACTACCTTAATCTAGGCCATGCATTCTGTCCCTGAATCTACTATTCTCCAAAGATAACTGCAGAATACACCCTACAGTCACTTCCAAAGCAGCTCCCAGTTTCTCTGTGCTTGAGAAACAGCAGAATGCACCAGTAACATTTTTGTGACCATGTCACTTACTCTTTGGGTGGTTAGTGACCATGGTAGTTACTTAATCTCTTGAGCTTTAGTTTCTTCATGTTAAAATGGACTGATGCATACATGAAATAGTAAATGATTATAAAGTATATGGTTTTGCACATAAAATTAGTTAATAATTACAAGTTATGAGGGTTTTCCAGTTATTATTTTTCTTTTGTTTTTAAGCTTCACTGGGATTTTGATGATTTTTTGGTCTTCCTTATGATCTGGGTTTTTTTGTGGGGCATAGGGTTTGTGACACGAAGTCTCGCTGTCACACTGGATAGAGTGCTGTGGCATCATAGCTCAAGGCAACCTCAAACTCTTGGGCTCAGGTGACCCTCTTGCCGAGTGCTGTGGCCTCATAGCTCACAGCAACCTCAAACTCTTGGGCTCTGGTGATCCTCTGGCCTCACCCTCCCTAGTAGCTGGAACTATGAGGCTCCTGGCACAATACCAGCCAGTTTTTGTATTTCCAGTAGAGACAGAGTCTCTCTCTTGCTCAGGCTGGTCTCAAACCCTGAGCTCAATGGACCCACTTTGGACTCCCAGAGTGCTAGGACTACAGGCCATGAGCCACCAAGCCCAGCTGATCTGTATTATATTAGTCATCATATGTATGCCAGAGACTACACTAAGAATTTTATATATTGACTTATTTAATCTTCACAACAACCCTAAGCAATAAATGGCTTAATATGTATAAAGTTAATTTACAACACATAAGCAAAAAATAGAACTTGAACAAGTAGCTGTTGCAAGTAAAATTATTCTACATCAACCTACTTTGAATCTTCCTGGTATCAGGCATTAAGCCTCTGTATCTGGCTAACTGGTGAGTCGGTACTTTCATCCCAAAGCTGGTCTCCTTCAACCAGTCACAGCCTGGCTTTCTACCTCCTTCTGTCTATAGCTCCTTTTAATAAAATCAATAACTTCATGCTACCGAATTTAAAGGATACTGTTAAGTTCATTTTACCACACATCTCAACTGAACTTAACACAGTCCCTTCTCTCCTTCTGAAATGGTCTCTGCCCTCAGCTTCTCTGGTACTTTCCTTTTCTGGTTTCCTCCTCCACACTCCTTAGTTGCTTTTTTTCCCTCTCAACTCTAAATGTTGTTATTCTTTTTTTTTTTTTTAATTGAGACAGTCTCACTTCGTCACCCTTGGTAGAGTACCATGGAGTCATAGCCCACAGCAACTTCAAACTCTTGGGCTCAAGTGAGTCTCTTGCCTCAGCCTCCCTAGTAGCTGGGACTACAGGTGCCCTCCACAATGCCCGGCTATTTTTTTTGTTGTTACCAAGCCAGGACCTGCTTCAAACCCCCGAGCCCTGGAGCATGGGGCCAGCACCCTAACCACTGAGCTACAGGCGCCCAACCTAAATGTGTTATTCTTCAGGACTCTATTCTGGATCCTCTTTATAGGCAAAAGGCCAATATATATATGCCTCTGGTCAAAAAAGCTGTTTGAGAGAGAGCACTTTGTGCAGACATACTTGCAAGAAACTGAGGCAGGATCCCATATGGCTGGGTTGGTTGCGGACGTAAAAACTCCGTGACTAAGGTCAGCCTGGTCAGTTGGAGGCATAAAAAAAACCCTGACTTAAGACCCACATGGGAGTGGAGGCTTGCAAACAAGTTTTCTGTACATCTTAGAAATTTCTTAATTATGCCTTGCTTAAAATTGAAGTAACTGCCTCCAAACAGTGAGGCCAGCAGGGCAGGTACTCAATCCACCTTTGTCCTCTGAGCCTCAGGTTTCATCAGATAAGAACAAAAGAAGTAATGGCTGACAACATGTTCTCCAGTTATGTTAAAAGGATTATGTTCAAAAGGATGACGTTAGATAAAGTGATATCAGTTAAACCATAGATTACTAGGGAGGAGCTACTCACAAGATAGTCACAAGATGTTTATTCTTGAGATGGGTTATGGATATAATGAATATTAATGAAGTCATGTACAGTACGCATGTGCAGAGGGATTGTAATGAATATTAATGAGATACAGTGCGCATGTACACAGCTAACTGTTTAAACCAACAGTAAAGAAATTAACTTGCCACTCGCCATGAGAGAGCAGTGGTCCCTGGCTAGGTAGTAAGCCAGGAGAAAATAAAGTTGTCACATGCCTGAGAGAGCTGTGAACCCTTTATTTAAATATACAGTTTCAGTCTGCGGGTTTATGCTCCACAGCACCGCTTCTCCGTGAGACCCTAATGGCAACACTCTTCTTTCTCTAAACTGTCTTCCCAGTAGTCATGTCTATTCCTAAAACTTTAATCATGACTTCTCTGCTGATGACGCCAAAATATATTCACACGTACCTAAATATATAAAAATAGCCTAGACCATTCTTCTGAGGCCCATATTCACTTACCCAGTCCTCTTAACAGCTCCACTTAACGTTTCAAAAACACCTGAACATGCTTGCTCTTTCTTCTTCTTATTGACAAATATAAAGGTCATATATATTTATGGTGTACAACATGTTCCGATATATGTACATACTGTGGATGTCTAAATCACGACAGTTAACATGTGCATTATTTCACATACTTATCTCTATTATTGTTCTTAATTTTCTCTTTGCTCACATAACCATTTGCAAACATAAGCACGTACTCCTACACAGCCATGATTCCTTTTTTATTCTCATACCCTATGTCCAATCCATCCACAAATACAATAAGTAATTTGGCTCCAACCTCAACATATATCTGGAATCTAACCATTTCTCAGCCCCTGCAACTCTATTGCCTGGGTACAAATCACTATCACCACCTATCATTCATAAATTAAAAACCAAAGTTCTGATTCTTCCTCCCAGGGCTACATGACATGGTCTCAGGTTATTTCTTGCCTTTACCAGTCTTAGGCTCACTTACACTACTCTGCCACGCTGGGTTGTTTACTGATCTTTAAATGTCGAGTACCCTACTGCTCAGGACCTTTGATTGGTTATTCTTACTGACTGGAATGATCCTTCCCCCAAAATTTGCAAGACTTGCTCCCTTAACGCCATCAAGAACCAGTTCAGGGCAGGCCCATATCTCAGTGGGTAGGTCACTGGTCACATACACTGAGGCCGGCAGCTTTGAACCTGGCCAGGGCCAGCTAAACAACAATGACAACCACAACAAAAAAATAGCTGGGCATTGTGGCGGGCACCTTGTAGTCCCAGCTACTCGGTAGGCTGAGGCAAGAGAATCACTTAAGCCCACGAGTTTGAAGTTGCTGTGAGCTGTGATTCCACAGTACTCTACCAAGAGCAACAGAGTGAGACTCTGTCTCAAAAAAAAAAAAAAGAATCAGTTCAAACATCGCTCTACAGGCAGGCCTTCTCTGTGAACAAACATCATCTTAAAAGAGCCAATCCTTCAGAGTGGATCCCAAGGGGCTCACTGGGCCTAAATTTAAAATACAGCCAAGCAATCACTTGCTGACTAGAGGTCACACACACACTATGAGTTGCCCGAAAATGTGCATTTCTAACTTTGGGACTTCTAGAAACCAACCAATGACAGTTTACCTGCCTCAGATAATCAGGGGTCAGCTGTGTGGAGAATCAGAACTAAGCAGGCACCAATCTTTCATTTTTATAAACAGACCCGTTGGGCACCTGAGCAGAAACTTCTGCTATAAAACCTAAGCCCTGCCTTTGTTCTCTGCCCTACACCTTCATTTTACTCCCTGGTTTGAAACATTTCTGTGAAATCAAGTCTCCTCCATAGTCCTTTTCTAACAACTTTCGTTCACACCACCCTACATAAAACAGCTCCTCCATGACTTTCTCCTTACCTACTTTACTTTTCCCTACCATTATATTAGACGTATTTTTACTGTCTGCTTCCCCATATTGTTCCAAACTAACTTTTCTTTTTCAAATAATACCTCGTTCTTAACATTCCCACCATTGTCCTTCCCCCAAACCTTCCGAAATGCCTTAGAGTATTTGTGTTTTTTTGACACAGAGTCTCTCCCAGGACCTGGGTAACGCTGTGTGGTCATAGCTCATAGCAACCTCAAACTGTTGAGCTTGAGCGATCCTCTGGCCTCAGTCTCCCAAACAGCTGAGACTACAGGCCTGTGCCACTATGCCTGGCTAATTATTCTATATTTAGTAGAGAAAAGGTCTCGCTTTTGCTCAGGCTGGTCTAGAACTCATAAACTTAAGCAATCCACCCACCTTGGCCTTCCAGAGTTCTGAGTCTACAGGCACGAGCCACCATGTGCCCAGCCCCTTCAGAGATTTTTAATATTCCATTATCCAGGCTCAGCGCCTGTGGCTCAAGCGGCTAAGGCGCCAGCCACATACACCTAAGGTGGCGGGTTCGAATCCAGCCCAGCCTGCCAAACAACAACGACGGCTGCAACCAAAAAATAGCCGCATTGTGGCGGGCACATGTGGTCCCAGCTACTTGGGAGGCTGAGGCAGGAGACTCGCTTGAGCCCAGGAGTTGGAGGTTGCTGTGAGCTGTGATGCCATGGCACTCTACCCAGGGGGACGGCTTGAGGCTCTCTCTCAAAAAAAAAATTCCATTATCCAAGGTAATTAAAAGTCTGCCTTCTCCATAAGATATCTTCCCCCAAACTAGTGAGTTGCAGTTGTAATCATTTCAATAACTTTGTCTTGTCCTAAAGCTACTAAATATGACCTACCATTCCATGATTTGAAGTGTTCAACTACAACTTCTTCTAATTTCTTTAACTTTGGATGACTATAAAAAAATTTTTTATCTGTATTTCCTGCAAAAAAGAAAAAATTCTATGTTTTATATTCAATTACATTAATGCATATTAAGTTATCCTTTTCAAAATAACATATGTTAAAACTTTTTCTTTTTATTTAAACAGTAAGTACCAACTAGGTAGCACACAAGTCTTACTATAAAATGAACTTTAAGTTTCTATGAAAAGTTCATTCTGAGAGAGAATCCAAACAGGAATCAGCAACAAAGCAAAAAGGCAAAAACACATATTTAGTTGAAGTATAAATCCATTTTTCAGAGTTCTGAGAATTTCCACTACCAGTAACAATCACTAACTATTATACTGTTAAAATTTATAAAAAATTGTTTAAAATTCATAAACTGTAAACATATATATATACATATATATCCTAACAAGTAAAACCTGTAGGCATTTAACAGGTCTGTTGCTACAAAAATATAATTATAGATAGACATATGCATCAATGGGACAAAACTTCAAAATTAAACTTGAGGAAGAAAAACAATGTAATACATATATATACTTTTAAATGAACCACCAGACCTTTCTGGAGAGCAGCAATGCCACCTGCTGAGGGACTGCTGGTGTGCGCAAACATGCCCTCCAGCTGATTATAGAGTTCCATGAAGTCCTCATTCCGGCTAAGTTCATTTTTTGACCGTGTCATTCCTTCAGAAATTAAGATTTCTCAAATGAATACACTTAATAGCAAAACTAATCAAAATTCAAAAAGAAATTAGATTTTAGCAATGCAAATTTATTAAATTTAAACATGAAAATCAGCAACGCCTCCCAGTTCCACCCTCACATTTGTATTAACAAATGGGGTTTTTTTCCCCAGCAGTTCTAAAACAAGGAAACATGGCCATTTATTACATAATTATTCCACTGGTTTTTAAAATAAGGTATTTTTAAGTAAGCCAAACTGTTCGGTATATGTCTATAACCAAAATATAACATGTCATTTCTTCAAGTAATTTCATATAATTTACCTTTAGTTCCATCCATAATTCCACAAAGGAAGTAATATAATGATCTCATTCCCATTTGCTGCAACAACTCATAACCATGATATAAACTAATACAAATAGCAAACTCTCCCTCGATCACACCTTGTTGTTTTCCCTAGAAAAACAGCAGCACATGACAAATTTAACCAGAGAAAGAAATAAACATACATGTTCTATACCACGTGGTCAGGGCCAACGGTCAGTGTAACATTTACGACATACCAAATGATCATAATAATTATTCTCTTCCTCACCAACTATAACTAACTGGTTCTAGTGAATGTCATGTTATAGGAAGTTGCTATGGAAAGACATTATGTATTTTCCATATAAAATCTGTCCTTTTTTTAATTAAACAGAAAACTTACATTTTAAAGAGATTAAAGGAACATACTATTTCTCTTTATGGGTAAATTGTTAGCAGTACACAGATTCATTTAGAACTATTTAATTAAGTACTTACCATATGGCAAACAGTGAGCTAGATATTTGAGATAAAATGGAAATGGAAAACAAATCTGATATGGGCCTATCCCCAAGACTGTTATGGACAAAAGGCAATTATTTAATCAGACTGTTCAACACCAACATTTAACACCAAATACACAGGCCATAATATCTGACACTGAGCACCAGATACTGTTCTAAGCACCTTACTCACATAAATTCATTTAATCTTAATACCTAGGAGGCCAGTTAGCTATTGTTATGCCCATTTTACAGTTGATGCAGCCCATACAGTAAGTAGTAGAGCTGATATTTATTTATTTATGAGACAAGAGTCTCACTCTGCCACCCTAAGTAGAGTGCAGTGGCATCATACCTGACAACAACCTCAAATGCTTGGGCTCAACCGATCCTCTTGCCTCAGCCTCCTCAGTAGCTGGGACTACAGGCACCCACAACACCCAGCTAGTTTATCTCAAAAAACAAACAAACAAACAAACAAACCTCAAGCTATCACCTGGGGTAGAGTGCCATGGCATCATAGCTCATAGCAACCTCCAACTCAAGTGATCCTCTTGCCTCAGTTTTTCTATTTTTGGTAGAGACAGGGTCTCACTTTTTGTTCAGGCTGGTCTCGAACACTTGAGCACAAGCTATCCACCCACCTTGGCCTCCTGGAGTGCTAGGATTATAGGCGTGAGCCACAGTACCTGGCTTAGTTTTTCTATTTTTAATAAACATGAGGTCTCACTCTTGCTCAGGCTGGACTTAAACTACTGAGCTCAGGCAATCCACCCACGTTAGCCTCACAGAGTGCTAGGACTACAGGCATGAGCCACTGCACCTGGCCCATTTCTTTCTTTTTTTTTTTAATGGAAAAAAAATTTTTTTCAATAAAACTGGAAAAGGTGCTATAAAAAGTCTTACTCCAGCTGTCTGTCTGATGCAGCACACAATGGAATTCATGTCCAGGTGACAGGCACTCCAGGCTGGAATTCATGTCCAGGTGACAGCACTCCGGGCTGGAATTCATGTCCAGGTGACAGGCACTCCGGGCTGGAATTCATGTCCAGATGACAGACGCTCTGGGCTCACAGCTTTCTTCCAAGGCTCCATGGCTAAGCAGTCGAGCTGGAGGTAGCTCCCACATTTTGAGGACCTGAGATTATAGGGCTAAGCACCTAGGATCCAATTCTAGCAAGTATTTCCTCATGCCCTAGAACATAACTCTACAATGTGTAGAACAGAAGGGCTTGGAACCCACCGTGTCATCCTTGGCTCTTAATACTATGGCTGGAGTTTTGGCAAGAAGTCTGCTACTTCCCTCCAGATACAGGGGGTCTGATCTCATGGCCTTGAATTTGACTTGCTCATGCCTATGGCAGGGCTCTGTATTTATTTCTCTCTGCCTGGATCCCTTTCTCCAGATGTTCACATGGCTCACTCCTAGTTCTTTAAGGCCCAGCTCACATGCCCTCTGCTCAAAGACACCTTTTTAGACTACTCATCTAAACTAACCTGCAGCACTCCATCACATTACTAAAACTATGCTGTGGCTTGAGGTATCAGTGGCAGAGCTGGGTGGTGCAAGGAACCGTCAACCTCCCTAAAGACTTCATGGCAGAGCCCGTGGAGAAAAAGCCAGTGGGGAGCTTAGCTGGGACTGATAAAGTCCTGGGCAAGAAGCTGGAGTAAAGGGGCTTTGGCAAGGCATATGAAATTCTTGGCCAGTTCCTGGTGCTGGAGAAAAATGAAGACCTCTTGTAGGAATGGCTGAAGGACACACGTGGTGCTGATGCTCAGCAGTCCCGAGATTGCTCTGGATGCCTCTGAGAGTGGTGCGAGCCTCTAGGTGATGCACTCTGGGATTCTGCAATCCTCAGCTCCAGCATTCAGTCTCCAGAATTTGCAGCTCAGTGGCGACTCCTCCTTTGTCCTTTTACAAAGGAAAACGACTGCTATTGCCGTCGTCGTCGCCTCAGATGTACTCCAGGGTCTTTGGGGAGTTTTCTCCCCTCACCATTTCGACGTTTTGGAATTCTTGCCCTTGCGTGCATCTCCCTTCTCCTTCCCCTCTCAGTTCCATGTTAGCAGTTCCCAGCTTTGCTGAGTGGATTACTGGTGCCTTCCCTCACTTCCACCTTTAACCTCCAGTCTGTTCAATATCATTTGGCTCTGTTTTTGGCAAAACAGTCATTGTCCTTGTTGCTTCCTGGCTTGCTCTGGCTGAACCCAAAATGGATGCTGTCTGCAGTTTCTTGTCATCATCCTCTTTCCGAGGGTGAATGACCAGTGTCACATGGCAGCAACTGTCTGTTGCAAACTTCTGAAAGGCCCCAACAGTAACTGCAAAGTAGCTGAAATCCTGTCTGTGGACAACTTCTCATGATGCATCATCGAACGCAGGTTGTCAATGACCAAGTGACAAATGCCATAAACATAGACTGCAGGTGGCATTGGGTCTATTACACTTGCAATATTTTGCTGCCCAAGGCAAGTCATGAAATAGAAGAGCAGGTCTTCAAACCAGTCGGCCACTCACCGTATGCGTCCAGTTGCTCTTCCAGCCACCCCATAGCAGACTGTGCCAGCAGGTCCTGGGCTAGTCTCGCGCTGTTCATTTGTCGCCGTTGTCATTGTTGTTTAGCTGGCTCCAGCTGGGTTCGAACCCGCCAGCCTCGGTGTATGTGGCTAGTGCTGTAACCATTGTGCTACAGGCTCCAAGCCTCATTTCTGAATTTTTAATGAGCTAATGATATATTTATGTATGTGTGTGTGTGTGTATATATAATCCCCCCAAAATCATTATTTATATTTTATCATGTCTCTGAGTAAAAATTTAATTTATCACCAAAATTTACTTAAAAATACCAACCACTAGAGTGGGAGCAGAGACTAACCACTTAGTGGCTAATCTTAGCACTCAGAGAGGCCAAGGCAGAACAATCGCTTGAGCTCAGGACTTTGAGACCAATCTGAGCAAGAGCAAGACCTATCTATACTAAAAATAGAAAAATTAGCCGGGCATCGTGGCAGGCACCTGTAATCTCAGCTACTTGGGAGAATGAGGCAAAAGGATCACTTGAACCCAGGAGTTTGAGGTTGCTATGAGCGAGGCTGATGCCATGGCACTTGAACCTGAACAACAGAGTGAAACTATGCCTCAAAAATAAATAAATAGGCTGGGAGCCTGTAGGTCAGTGGTTAAAGTAACAGCCACATGCTCTGGAGCTGGTGGGTTCGAACTCGGCTTGGGTCTGCTAAACAAAAACAAAAATATGTGGGCACTGTGGTGGGTGCCTATAGTCCCAGCTTCTAGGGAGGCTGAAGCAAGAAAATGGCTGAAGCCCAAAGGTTGGGGGTTGCTGTGAACTATGACGCCAGGGCACTCTACCGAGGTTGACAAAGTGAGACTCAGTCCCAATAAATAAATAAATGAATGAATGAATAAATAAATAAATAAATAAATAGAAAAAGAGAATAAGAAAAATACCTACCACAATATTTGGAGATGGGTTTTTCCTAAATTGATCTCTTGCCAGAATTATCTGGTATTTTGTTAGATTGGGAATATCCCTTCTCAAAACATTCCTCTGAATCAAAGAACTGGCAAATGCTTCCAAAACCTGAAATATGAAATAAATCATATCTAGCAAATATGAAAGAAATCTAGTTTAAGTTTGTCTTAAAACCTTTTCCAAATACAATCATTTTCTCACATATTAAAATAGTAGTTATATGTTTAATAAAGTTTGTTTTACAATGAACTTTTAAGTAAACACAGCAAAGATAACAAAATGTAAAAGTACTTGACATTTAGCTGGGCCTCATGGCTTAGGCCTATAATTCTAGCACTTTGGGAGGCCGAGGCAGGAGGATCCCTTGAGGCCAGGAGTTCAAGACCTACCCGAGCACTCCAGCGAGATTCCCGTCTCTACAAAGAAATCGACTAACCAGGATGAAGCAGGAAGATCATTTAAACTTAGAAGTTTGAGATTACAATGAACTATGATGATGCCACCACACTATAATAGGGGCGACAGAGTAAGACTCTGTCCCAAAAAAAAAGGAAAAAGTAGTTGATGTCTATCCCCCTAACATCTATATGAGAGTCAACACAGAGCAGCACCCATAGCACAGTGGGTAGGGGTCCAGTCACATACACACAGGCTGGCAGGTTCAAACCAAGCCCAGGCCAGCTAAAACAATGACAACAACAACAACAACAAAATACCCCAGCATTGTGGCAGACGCCTGCAGTCCCAGCTACTTGGGAGGCTGAGGCAAGAGGATTGCTTCAGCCCAAGTTTGAGGTTGCTGTGAGCTGTGATGCCATAGCACTCTACCATGAGGGTGACACAGTGAGACTCTCTTTCTCCAAAAAAAAAAAAAGAGTCAACACAAGCAATGTGTTGATATAATTTAAGATTATATTTATCTATTTATTTCTTCCCTCCCTCAACCTACACACACTCCAAGTGCCATGATAGGAGAGCCTTTGATTTCATCACTGTTATATTTCATATCCTCAGTGCCTACAACACAGTCTGGGACATAGGTCTTCAGGAACTATTTGTAGACTATTGTATTGAAATGTCTCAAAATACATTAAATTTCATTCACTGATTCATTCTTTCCACAAATGTTTATTAAGTATCTACTATATATCAAGTAATGTTTTTTGTTTCTTTTTGTTGTTTTTGTTTTGAAACAGAGTCTCAAGCTGTCACCCTGGGTAGAGTGCCATGGCATCATAGCTCACAGCAACCTCCAACTTGGCCCAAGCGATCCTCTTGTCTAAGTTTTTCTATTTTTGTTTTGTTTTGTTTTTAGTAGAGACGGGGGTCTCACTTTTGCTCAGGCTGGTCTCAAACTCGTAAGCTCAAGCAAACCACCTGCCTTGGCCTCCCAGAGTGCTAAGATTATGAGAGTGAGCCACCACACCGGGCCTCAACTAATGTTTTAAAGGCTGGGGATAGTATGACTAAGACAAAATGGCTGTTTACATTGCAATGAAGGGTACCCAAAGAATAAAGCAGAAAGTAATAAAGAAAGTTGGTCACTTCAATTACAGTAATTGCATTTAATAATCTAAAACACAATAATCTAAAACTAAATCTAAAACTCTAAATCTAATAGTTTTTGAAGGAAAAGGGATCACTACTAAATAATGTAGGGCCAGGCTTGGTGGCTCATGCCTGTAATACTAGTTACTCAGGGAGGCCAAGGCAGGTGGATTGCCTGAGCTCACAGGTTGGAAACCAGCCTGAGCCAGAGTGAGACCTCATCTCTAAAAATAGCTGGGCATTGTGCCGGGTGCCTATAGTTCCAGCTACCTGGGAGGCTGAGGCAAGAGAATCACTTCAGCCCAAGAGTTTGAGGTTGCTGTGAGCTATGAGGTCACAGCACTCTACCCACAGCAACAAAGTGAGACTCTGTCTCAAAAAAGAAAATAAAAAGACACTGCCAAATTTTAAGTGGGTAAAATAATTCTTAGTTGAAAACTACTGCTACATAAGGGATCAGGGAGGACAACATTAAAAATGCATTTCATAGAGCAGCACATGTGGCTCAGTGAGTTGGGCATCAGCCCCATATACTGAAGGTAGTGGGTTCAAACCTGGCCCCAGCCAAACTGCAACAAAAAAATAGCCAGACTTTGTGGCAGGCGCCTATATCCCAGCTATTTGGGAGGCTGAGTTAAGAAAATTGCCTGGCTCGGCGCCTGTAGCTCAAGCGGCTAAGGCGCCAGCCACATACACCTAAGGTGGCGGGTTCGAATCCCCAGCCCGGGCCCGCCAAACAACAATGATGGCTGC